CGTAGTCATATGTAATCTATTGTATATATATACCATATATCTTTTTTCTCCCCACGTTACCTAATATATTTGTTTGTTTGTTAATAGTCGTATTATAGAAGGCCCAGTGTAAGATTTTTTTATTTTTTTTATTTTACAAGTTTGCCATTGCAATAGATCTATATATAGAGTACTATGGTTACAAATGACTGGAATTTCCACACAGAGATAGTTCTCCAATAACGGGGTTCCAAAAAAGAACAACTAATGGTATATCTAATTATTTTGAAGTTAAAGCAAACATAACAATTAAACACAAATACAAGAAGACAAAGCAAACGTATTGACGAACAAAAACTAAATTTAGCAACATGTTCGAGTTGATAAGTTCATTAGTGGGCGAGTGGTGTGACATTTAATACACACAGACTTAAATGTTCTTGGATCTTCAGGGTCATAAATTTGTTGGGTTAATTCTACGTAGTATTTCATTAGATTACATTTAAATGTAGTTAGAGATGTGGTGGTATTTCTTATGAAGCCGGGAAGCGTGTTCCATACATTAGCAGCTCTGATGTAAAAGCTGTTTTGAAAAGAAACAGTTTTACTTTTGGTTACATGAAGTAGGATGCCGTTAGTTGAACTAGTATTCCTTGTTTCTCGTGTAGGGATCTTTATAGATATGTTATTGTCAGAGTTGTTTATAAGGTATTTGTGAAGATACACCATATCTAAATACTCATGCCAGTAACATAGAGGGAGGATTTCGATGGTAGCCAATCGTTTCTTATACGGGATAGATGTTTTGTACGGGAGCGAAAGAATAAATTTTGATGCACGTCGCTGCAACCGTTCGATCGTTAGGATGTTGTTGACAGTTTGGGGTGCCCACACTTGACTACTGTAAGCTAGCTGGCTTCGAACGATGGTCAAGTACAGTATCTTTCGAACTCTTCTATCGTGAATGCCGCAAGCTGTTCTCTTGACAAAACCCAGCATTTTGTTAGCTTTTGAGGATAAGTCCTGTACGTGCTGGTTCCACTTCATATCTTTGGTGATACTTACGCCAAGATCTTTTACACAGGTTAAAGGTTTGACTGGAATGTCAACTAATGTGTACTGGTTGATAGTAGGTTGGAGACAACGAGTGAATTGAAGAACTCCGCACTTGGATTTATTTAAATCCATCCTCCAGTCTTGACACCAGTTCGTAATATTGTTAAGATCTGATTGTAGGATTTCTCTGTCTTGGGGGTTACGAACAGCGCGATGACATTTAGTATCATCAGTAAACATTGACACGGCAGTACCTTGGGAGACGCTATCGGGAAGGTCGTTTACGTAGATAAGAAAGAGGATTGGTCCAAGAATTGATCATTGCTTTGCTAAACTGTTTTTTTTGTAATACCTTCTTTAAATAAAGTCTATTACAACTGCATGAGACAAAATGCCAAGTCTGCGCAAGGTGGCTATTAAGGTAAGCTTATCAACACGGTTTTTGTGAATTTTGAATTTGTTTTTGTTATTTTAAAGGTGATATGAATTGCAACGTGAATATTCTGGCTAGTCATGCAACAGGTCTAACAGTTGGATATTCTGTGATCACCTTAATCACCATGAATTTCGAGAGATATTTGGGTATTATCCATCCGTTCATTCATCGTACAAAATTAACGAAGAAAAGACTGCTGTCTTTTGTTTTCACTGCATGTGCTATGCATACAGTAACGGTGCCACTATTTCTTATAAATAGGAATATAAAGACACTAAAAACAGCCATACTTCTTCCTGTTTTCCTGATTACAACTGCGTATGTTTATATCAGCATTTTCCTGACTGCCAAGAAAAGATCTCCTTTACAAAATCCACCAAATGCAATCGCAGGTGAAAGCAAAGAATCGACAATGAAGACAACAAAGGATAAACTTAAAGAAATAAAGCTAGCAAAGTCATGTTTTATGGTAGTCTTTCTGTTCGTATTCAGTTTTGTACCGCTAATAATTTTCAGTATATTGTTTTCAGAAGACTTAGGAACAGTAAAGTTCGGAACTGTTCAGTCATGGAGTGCTACAATTGTTATGTTGAACTCAAGTCTCAATTCTGTCATCTTCTTTTGGACCAGACCTTTGCTCCGAAAAGAGGCGAAGAAAATGTTGGGGGCGATTTGTTCTTAAATATTCATGGTGGATTCTTTTTCAGAAGCACCAAAATCCGCGATATTTATACAGCGAAGTTAAAAATTATAAATTAATTACACTTATAAGTAATATGAAACAGGATACGGAGTAACAATTTTAACAGCAAAGACGCAGGAGTTGTACGTACAGATAGACTGACAAGCAATAATCCAAACTGCAAATTGCAATATCGTCAATTATTAATTGTTTCCCGACTATAAGACTGTATCTCTCTTCCCCCAAATATTTTAGAAACAATCGTGTACATAACTGGCACATCATCTTGTCTTTGTAACCAATGGTGTTTTTGAAAATTTCTGTCGGCAGAATTACCACTACTTATTTCATAAACCAAGTAGGGCGGATTATGGGAATTAATATACGTATTCCACAGTGCCATTGATCTAATTTCTTTGTTCCAAGGTCGGATTTTGGTGGAAATGGTGGGGGAGTTGGAAAAATATTTAGGGTAGGTGCAGCGGTCTAGTTAATGACCTCCCTGGAATGTTAGGGCTTAGAACTTAACCCCCCTAAAGGCAACTGCGTAACATTATGCGTGTACTGAACATATTGTATCAGTGTATTCATGAATTATGACTGCACGAGTCGTCTCATCCAATTTTGCCCTTCAATACATTAGTACAAAGTCTCTTTGGAAACATTTCATTAAAAGGGTACTTGACACAGAGATGAATGCTTTACAAAAAAACTTTCTTAAAAAGTGTAGACCTAAGCAACACATACAATATTGTCAAATTTTCATTTTGATCTAACATTTAATGTTTCCCAAGGGGAGGTGCATAAATTCCGACCATGCTTTGTCTCCCAATTATTATTCCTTCTCCTGGATGTCTCCATACTAGCCTGATATAATCTTCTTCCTTTGTCATCATAATGTGCCCAAACCATGGCAACGTCATTTCAGTTATCTTCTCCTTTAACACAAAATCGCCAGCTTCCAATCTCACTTCATCATTTCTTTGTCTGTCTCTCAAGGATATTTCAAGCATCCCCTCGCACGTACATTTGTTTTGTCCAGCTATAGTCACGGATTGCTTCAAACAAATTGCTCAGTATCGCACAGAACACCTGGTTACATATTATTTCTTTTTCGGAAGCGGAGTGCTCAGTATCATGTGGCCTGATACAATCTAACCCCTTTATGCAATGTGGTCTCACTAGGGTCTATTATTAAAGCGGGCTGGCCCGGCTCCTATGTAATCAAAACTCAAAATTTATATAAGATTATTATAGTAAAACGCGGTTTACTGAGCGCGGTTTACTGAGCTAGACCAGTCCACGTAATCGGCCCCTAAAAACCTCCCACGGACACAAACGAGAACATGTGTATATCGTTTAAACCGTTTTATAATTTCGTTCGAACGGTTTCTTAAGACTGTTCGTAAAGGCGTTGAAATTGGTGTTTGCATCCGTTCATATTTTTTATTCAAATCGTTTAAACGTTTTAAAGATCTGCATGTTAAAACGATTTGACAGAACTATCCGTTCGTCGTCCCTTAACGTTAACGTATATTTCCCCAAGGAAGGTCATATATATTGATCATTACTTTGAATTTGGAAAAAACTTGAACAATGCTGGAAACACTTTCTCCTTAAAGGAAGGCAACTTGCCATAAAGATTAACGAGAGAATTAAACTCCTAACAACGCATATGCTTTATATTATGTGTTTGGATCCTAATTCACTCAATTTACAGTCCCATTTCTGTATAAAAAAGCATGCAGCACATTCGAAAGTCCATTAACGTAGAATACATAATACTGCTGAGAAATTTTACGTAGCAACACTGGGGAAAAATGTGAAATCCATACTATGAGATTTGCAATTGCACCACTAAATCCATAGTATATCCATACTATTTCGATACTAAATCCATAGTATATCCATACTATTTCGATACTAAATCCATAGTATATCCATACTATTTCGATACTAAATCCATAGTATATCCATACTATTTCGATACTATATCTATACTATGGAAATATACAATGCCCTGAAGCATGCATAAAACAAGTGCACTACAAGCGCGAAGACATACTATTTTTGAACAAATACCAAGGCCTATTATCCCAAACCAACTAAAATACTGCAAAACTCACGCAGCGAATATAAACCGATGCACTTCGTTTGAGTACCGCAATAATTAACAATGTTCTCTACATTGCTCTTCATTAACATTTGGATGATCAGAAACGAAAAAGAGCAAAGTAGCCAATTTTTAAAAGTGCCATTCGGTCACTTTAAGACGTTCTTTACAAAACAATCACATAAAAATAAGCACGCTAATTAGCGTACACGTATCGGCACCAAAGTCTGTTGTTGTTCATTGTTTAGTTGCTCAATCAGTGGGTAGCCTAACGATTTACACAACAAAGTTGCAGCTAGGCAGCTGCTTTCGAGGGGTGAATGCATGGCCTAGATATATCATGACCAGCTCACATATGACTCGATTTCCAGAATAACTGTAAAATATACTGGCCAGTGTACATTCTTTTTGCAGCCGCCATCTTAGATTTTTCGTTCCAAGGAACATTAGTATGTCACGTTGGAGGAATCAATACGTCATTATTGCCAACTCATCGCTTGTTGTCTATAAGCCACTTGCAGACACGACAACATTATGAGATAAAATTGCATTGCATTGCATTGCATTGCATTGCATTGCATTGCATTGCATTGCATTGCATTGCATTGTATTGCATTGTATTGCATTGCATTGCATTGCATTGCATTGCAAGGTAGTTTAATAAGGTTTCATACTTTCTCTGACTAAGTTAGCTTATTTGGCAAGGTTTGGATATATCACACCCAGCTATAAAAGCTATGACTGGCAGTCTAAAGCTCTGAAAAGGAATTCTGTTAGAAAGTACTACTGACAAAAAGATACCGTGTCAGAAAATTAATATGATCTTGCAATAACAGCAAGGTAGGGATAAAAATTTCAAAAGAGAGGAAATATTTCATAAGATAAAAAACTTACCAAAGTTGAACTGACTATTGATCTTCTCACAATTGATTATATTGAACTTGTACGGAACGTTTTCTTCCATATTACTGACCTACAATTATACAAAATGTGAACAAAAACAACGTACGAATTGAAATTTGTATGGGGTTTACAATGGATACATGCACGTGACCCGATGCTTGAAATTTGATTGGACACAAACCACATTAAGTATTCACGATTACAAATTATGTCGATAATTCTCGACACTCTCCCCCTATTTGCAACGTAAGTTTGCAAATATTACAACAATAACAACATATTAATAAGAATCTAAGTTTATCAGTTTCAGTTTATAAGTTCCTCATGCAATACTCTCGAATGTTTTCGTTAAAAGTACTCCTCGTCTTGAAGTTCTTCAGCCGCAATGTTTTTGAATAGTTCTCGTGCAGCTTCTGCAGTTTTACGTTTTGGACGAAATTCAGGAGCATGTACATCCAAGGCAGTGTTCTCTTTTGACATTGATGGCATGTCGCACGACAATTCCAACGGAAATGTGTGTTGGACAGGTCTTTCCGCGCTCCTCGTTATCTCGACCTTGGAACAATTTCTCTACAATTCCAATTGTCCATAGACCTCTGTTCCGTTCTTCACCTTTGATCATTACGACGTCTCCAGGGTTCAGCGCCATTTCTTTACGGTTATGCTTCAGGTTATGACGTTCTTTCAGGGATTTGATGTACTCAGTTGACCACCTAGATCATAGAGCATCCTTACACTTGCGCAGGGAGCATCCTTACACTTAGTCCGTTTGCGTAGGTCTCGATCTTCAATCGCGTTGAGATCTTGTTGTGGAATTAAGTTAGGTTGACCAAATAACATGGAGTTTGGGGTTAACAAAGGGAGTTGAATGCCATCTTCAACGTAGCACAACGGTCGGGAGTTTAAGGTGGTTTCAACATCAATGATTATCTCCTCCAGCTCGTTCTACTTGAGATTCCCATGTCCAATCGTCTTGTAAAAGGCTTGTTTGACAAGGCCAACCATTCATTGAAATTGGCCGCCCCAGCAAGGGGCGCGGCTTAAGTTGAATTACCATTTGATTTCATTTCGCGCGAACCAGTTTTGCAATTCTTCATCCTTCATCACATTCTTGACCCATTTCGAAGCTGCCAAGGAATGTTTTCCCATATCTGAATATATCTTTCTCGGTCTTCCTCTTCTGGCTACTAGGCGTTTAAAACTTCTGAATGAACTCTTCTGTGGTAAGATCGGGTAGCAAGTCCAAATATACAACTCTTGTCAAACTGCACGAATACAACTGTATGTAAGCTTTCTTTTCGATTTCTTATGTCGGTATTTGATCGGACCAGCATAGTTTACGCCAATCGTCTGGAACGGTACTTCTCCCATGGTTCTGTCATTAATAATTCATGAAGACAATTCAAAAGAACTGAATGTTTAATCAATGTTTGTCAATCGGATGAAGATTTGTCCTGATCTACATAAACTTCAGCTTTGATTTTCTCGGCTTAAACAATGTTTATTTTTAAAATTACTTCGCCAATGAACTCATAAGATGGGTCGTTTTTTAAGTTATATCAGATAAAGATCGGCTGCTCATGTTTTAACTAGTACATAGCCTTACATATATTGTACATCGACTTACTTCAAAGTAAAACCACTGGTGATGACTACTGCAGTTAACATCAGAATTTAAAATAAGATCATACTCTCGTTCACAGACCTAGGTTAAAATAAAATATTACAAATATGCACAGATTGCAGTTTGTGGTAGATAACGAACAAAGACGGGGCCCTTAGGTACACTGGGCGTGGGGCCATATCTTAAAAAGAACATTCTGCAGTTGCTACTGTAATGGGAATGGTTGCATACAACAAGATAAGGAGCAAGGCAGGAAAAAATAATTTTCTTCCTGGGATCACAACCTGGAGACAAAACTTTCCTGCAGACCAAGGGAGTATTTTTGTGTGAGAAATCTGCATCACATAAACATATATAGTGTTCTACCTAACCATGGTTTTAAATTCAACGAAAAGTATCTGTCAACCATATGTTGTTACGCCCATAGTGGGACATGGGTGTTAATGTTTCCTTTAAATTGTCAATAGCAAATCTTCATTCAAACGAATTTCCTGCATCTGTTTAACATTTTCTGCGAGCAGTGCTCACCTATTTTTTCCAGCCCTGATAAGGAGTATATACACTTGAGAAACTTTCTTTTCTAATTCGTTGACAAAAGATCGAAATTCGGATACTAGTTTTTCGAGAAATTAATTGGATATTCTTTCACAATCACTTTTCCAGCAGTTTCCAGGTGAAAGATTTTAACTGAGATATGATCTGTGGATGAAAGCAACTGAGTGTATGTGTTACCATTTTCATCAGTAGAGGCGTGGTATGAGCAGCGACAAGGGGCCCCAACTACCGTAGGTCCTTAGTTCTCGCTCTAAGTAACCCTCATAAGGTCCCTACCTTATGAGGGTTACGCCACTGCGTGTTCTTTTAATTACACAGGAAGTGCAGGCATGTTAGTGTCACGGATACCTTAAAATTTTTACCTGAATTGCTTTGCGTAGATTTCCACATTCGAATTTTGACTCGAATGAAAGTGGTCTTTTGCCACTAGTTTGGCGTTCCTTATCCTGTTGAGTAGAACTAAATTAAAAAAGATCGGAAAAAACATTTTCAAAATATTTGACATTCAATCCATCAATGGCCAAGGATTCTCCCTTTGCATGTAAAACCCGTCTGGCGTTCTAGACATAGAAAAATAGCAATTTAAGGAAGGAAACGCCGCTTTCCGCTTTAATCGAGCCATGAACAGATAGTCGGGTTGAGTCATTAACCAACAAGGGTGTCATCAAATGTACATTAGTGTACAGTATATTGCAGCTTAGTGCTTTTATAAGGTGGATTTCGTGTTAATGGTTGGCAGGCATGAATAATGTTAATATAAAGGCAGGCTACATGTACTTGAGCAGTAGTGTTGTATCACATTTAAAACAATCGAGTTGTTTTAGAAAAGTTAAAACACATTCCAGACTTGTACTGATAGGTTCAACCACGATCAACCAATTTTAATGGGCCATTCCATTTAGTGTAATATAGGCACCAACCCCCTATTGAGGGGTCCCTTCATAATCCCCTTAGGATATAAAAATTTTCAGGACTCATTGGGAACCCTCTTCGATGCAATTTGTGAAGTTACCCCATAGGATATCTTACTAACTCCTTAAAACAGCTAATTTTTGCCATTTAAAAAAACTTCTCAAGTTACCCCGCATGAAAATTTAAGATAAAGACCCCTTCCTCCTCCATTGGATATCCATACTTCTCCATAGGGGTGCGGTTGTACATATTAAATGGAATGATCCAGCGTTTCGATAGCCTATGACTATAGCTCCTTTTTGTTTTGGCAATTCCCAGGGGTATACATGATTTCACGACGAGCGAAATGCGAAAAATTTCGCGCGAAAAGGTTGAACGCATGCGCAACATGATTTTGGAGTGTTTCTCTGCGAAATGTTTCTCTTCGCGGGGTAGTTGAATTCGTTTTTACTCCGTTGCGAAATGGAAATAGCAAAGTCAATCAAATGCTTGTGTCTTCTGCGAAGTCAATCAAATGCTCGTATTTTGTTTTGATGTCATTCAAAAATCTTTGACTTTTCTCAACTGCACAAGTGTGTTTTAGCGCGAAATTTTTCGCATTTTGCCCGTCGTAGAATTAGGCCTATACATTTGACTATTGCTTGTGACAACCTTAATTAATTGAAATAGATGTACATTTCAAACGTCATTATACAAACCTTGTTGAATCACGTGACAAATCTGTAGCTGAACATTCACGGTTACTTGCCATGGCAACATTTCTTTCAGTATCTAAATCATACACGACTTTATTGACCACTTTTTGATCTTGGAGAACACGCTCGATGTCCTTCAACAACATTGACCTAGATTCAAAAGGCACTTTGCTTTAATATCATCATTTTTATATGTAAACTTGCAATATGCTCCAATTTCACGTTTGGTCGATAATAATATACATGCAAAAAATACTCAGTCCTGATTGGCTAATAGCAGTGCAATATTACAGTATCCTAATACCACGGGCGGATCTAGCCTCATCTGCAACGAGGGGTGCATGTTTTCCATGGGGTGGTGCATGAGGAAGCCTTATACTGCCCACTTTCCTCTGCAATCGGTAAGACTATTATCCCAACATTACCATTAGCCTATTTGAGATGGCCGAATCTGCATGTTCACCGTTCTGTTACGTTTTACATTATCTTTTGTAATCTGCTTTTCATCACGTATGTATCACTGGACAGTTGCTGTAGCACGGTACAGTAAATTTGCTTGTTCACGTACAGTATATTTAAAAATATGGCTGTATAACAACCTCGAGATGTTTACATATTTAACCATGATATTTACCCAAAGCATTCTGAGTATTTTCTCGTGAGCTCACAAATCAAATAAATCGTTTAAAGAAATCAACACGCGCTAACAGTAGAAGTTCCGCTAATCGCTACTCGCAAAGCAGAAATGTATGGTCAAACTGCTTATTTAGGGTGGTGCTCGACTTCTCTAGGGGACACCACTAGGTGGGGCGCGCACCTTCACCCCCGCACAAGATCCGCCTGCTTAATACAGTGCCAAAAAACTTCTCTAGGGGACACCACTAGGTGGGGCGCGCACCTTCACCCCCGCACAAGATCCGCCTGCTTAATACAGTGCCAAAAAAGTAATATGTGGCAAGGCGCCCAAATAAAAGACACTTTGATTTTAGTCGACTTCTGATTGCTGTAAACTTGTATCAAGTTGTTGTGTCATTGCAAATGAATGAATGCACGCGACTATGAATTTACTCCCACACTACATTTTCATTGAGTATTATTTATATGGTTTCTCTGAAAACATACACAAATGAGCTTTTCAGGTGCCGTTAAGCCTGCGAGTGGTTTCCATATGGTCGTAAAAATTGAGTCACGATCTTTCTCAACGGCCCGTTTATAATAGTTTATACCTGGCTGTAAACCACATATAAATCATGAGTATTCTCTAGTTATAATAAATCACTACGCATATTTTCAGTTCTAAGATGTTGTATTTCGCCTGATGAGAAAGATCGTGACTCAATCTTTACGACCGTTGCGGTGAAATGGCGGACTGTGAAGGACTGTTCAGCTCCATTATTTTCCCGTGACGGACCGGCGGTCCATTATTTTCCCGTGACGGACCGGCGGTCCATTATTTTCCCGTGACGGACCGGCGGTCCATTATTTTCCCGTGACGGACCGGCGGTCCATTACGTAAAAACAAACGCATGCATTTTAAAACAAAACAGCAAAAGTAATTGAAAATTATAATTTAATTTGTTATTAATAAGATATCTGCGAATGGTTTTACAAGTAAGTGGAAAAGAAGAATTGGTAATTTTTGTTTTCTTCGAAATGTGTACCACGCTACTAATATGCATTTCAAATCATGCATTTCTTGTTTGTTTCGAGTATAAATGCCTTTAAATGCCATATAATAAACTTTTTATTAACCTCGCCTGCTCGGTATGTACAGAGAAATAACGGACCTCGTTCTTTTTGTACAAACTTCGCCCTACGGGTTCGGTCTACAAAAAAGACCTCGGTCCGATATTTTTCTGTAAAGACCTCGCGCTCGGTTAATAAGAAGTTATTAATTCGGTCCTATATACCTACAGTATAGGGTAAGGTGAGATCTCGCCTATAGTCGGGCTGGACCGTTAATCATGCGGACGCCAACTAAATATAATGGACAAATAAATGGCAATTTTTAAGTAAAAATTATCGGCAAAAACCGTAGAAGGATGGACGTTTTTCTCCTTATATATCACTTCCCCCCCCCCTTCCCCAGCAGAAAATCTGAGACAGCATTGAAGGGGGGGGGGGGGAGTTGCCATACTTATAAAATGTAACAAAAATAAATTTAGGGCTAAGCTAGCGCAAACGTTCAGGCGTTCTACGAACGTTTGGCCATGATTCTAGTTATCTGTGGAGTTAATGACTACCAAAAATAACATCTACAGGCACGAATGCCAGTACTGACCTTTGAATTCCAGGTTTCTTCGTATGAAGTGGTTCAGGATGCAACGGTGGATAATGTCCATAAACATCAGCCCGGGGAGTCTTGACAAACTCAGAAACACTCCTCACTTTCATTTTCTGATCATGCGTACTATCCCGACCCGAGCATCTTGATTCATCACATGTTCTACTAGTTGCGCATGATTGTATTTCAGTGGACGATGTGCTACATGACGGGCTCATCAGAGCACTCCTTTCACTGTCCCTCAGTAAGGCATCGTCAACATCACTGGAGTAAAAAAGAAACAAGAAAATTATATACATCAGGCCTTAAAACATCGGTCTTGTAGATGGAATTTATCGAGTGGAAATTTAGATACATTTATTAACCAGGAACAGCTGCGAAAAACTATAGGTCCCTGGCAGGAATCGAACCTGCGGCCCTGCCATTCCGGTGCAGCGCTCTAACTGAGCTACAGAGGCCAGCTCTAACCACAAGTTCACGTATATATACTGGGGTACTGCCATGTTAGGTTATGGGTAAAAATCAAGATTTTGTTGGCATCTCACTCGATTGAATAATAGTTGAAGGGTTTTGTAGATGGAAGTTATCGAATTCATTCATTAACCTACAGGGGCTGGTTGTACGAAAGGTGGATAAGTTATCCAGTGGATAAGTCCTATCCAATGGATAGCTATCTGCCGAATAAAAATGCGTTGTACGAAGTACGGATAGCAGGGTGGATAGCTATCCGTCGGATAACCTTAATTTTAACCGGAGAAAACTGGATTGTCCTGAAATTTCTTATCTCTACGTCAGCTGTTGCTAGGTATTTGTAAACTTTTGTTGTAGTATCTTCATATAACTTGTGAATTCCACTAACCTTTGAACTATCAACTTGCAATAAAGCTTTTTTGTTCATGTTTATATTTTGGAGTTTTTCTCGTCCAATCGTTGCAATATTTCGTTTTCCCACAGTGAAGAGTTTGCTATATCTTCTTATCGATATTTCTTTAAAAGATTTTTGGCTTCTTTGTGCGAAGGCAATAGCAAAGACTGCGAGTTTTGTTTTCTTGTTTCAGTACGTTGATTCAGTTTTATTTTATATACTGTCCGAATATTTGTTCTTTGACCTTTCACGTCATTCAAAACAATTTTAAGAACATTTTCTCGCACGATTTGATTGGCTGATCAAGGCCAGCGAACAAAATTTTTCGACTTTCGGTGCCTTGTTGTCTATTTTATATATGCAGCTATATTTGTTTGGCGTTGAAAGGAACTCATTTAATGAAAGTTTTATTGCTTGTTTTCGAGCTATATAACAGAAAAAAAAAGAAGGAAAAAGGCCAGAAAACGTAACGTCTAAGCACTGACACAGGTCTGCATAAAATATGGCAAAGTCATGGCATTATTTAATGGGCAAGTGACTCAAAGTGAGCTCGGTACGTCTGACAAGAGCAAGAGAAGTCGTATAAAGTAAGTTTCCATGTTTATTTAGTGTCAAAAAAGGGACTTCTAAACGGTATTTGTCCATTTCTATTACAATGGCAATTCCTTTTAAATGAAATACACATTGTTTTGTCTTCAAACTTTGAGCTTATCCGCCGGATAGTGGATTTAAACTACCTCCAGACCTCGGATAAATTTATCCAACGGATAGTGCATTTTATCCGTTGGATAGCGCTATCCGAGCTTCGTACAACGCGATTTTCACTCCGCATAAAATTTATCCACTGGATAGGGACTTATCCACCGGATAGCGATTTATCCACCTTTCGTACAACCGGCCCCTGGAGGACACTAGGAGTGAGGGCAGGGGGAAACTGCCCCCGCCCCCAAAACGTTTTGCCATACTGTACCATAAACCATCTTGTCTCCAATTTTCAGTTTCGTCACACGCACAACAATCTTCACAAGTCGTGGCAGCATTACCCCAGTTGCCGAACGAAGATGTCAAATCCAGGTTTGCTGTTGGAATTACAATTGGTGTTTGAATTGATGGAGATATGTCTGTACTTCCAGATCCATCCTGATAAATAAATAAAGATGATTGTACAACTCATTAGTGAAGGAGTTTGTATATCTGATACAAAATCATGCTGATTTACATAAACGTTAAGTTCAATTTTCTCATTTATTGAAGAATACAAATAACGAATTGAATGTTCTCATCAAGACATTTCTCACAACAAAGACACTCGTGTTGGAAAACAGTGGATAAACCAAAGCGAATTTGCTCAAGTTTAGATATTATCATGTCAATTTGCTCAAGTTTAGATATTATCATATCATATCATATTATCATGTTTAGATATTATCATGTCATGGTGCAAGTTTTCGATTTGATTATTTCACGATTATATACAAATGTAAAAAACGTTGTATGCGTGTGGTTAAATGCACGAAAGGGACTCTTCAGACTCGGTTTTTGACATGTTTTACTATAATTATACAGTTTATGACTATGTTTCTCAACCGGTTGTACGCCGGATAGCCCTATCCACCGGGTAGTGATTTTTTCAAGCTTCGTAAATTGCATGTCTGTTACTTGCTATAACTCAGATTAAACTGTAAAAATTAGAGTTTATTTTTATCTTTTTGAGCATTTTTACAACGGTTGAAAAACACTATCCTGTAAATAGCGCTATCTAGCCGTCGTACAATCGGCTCGAGATGCGTTAATAAAAGTAGCTAACTGTATAAACCAGATAATAAAGCTCAAACAAAGTAAGTTTGAGAGAAACGCCAAAAAACGTTTAGGTTTGAATGTTTCTCATTGCAGGGTTTTGGCCGCACGTAAATCTCACCTTGGTGCAATTCATTTCTTGAAAGAACTGATGATACATAGAGACTAAATCAGCTTTACTTCGGGTATTATTACTTTTATTTTCAGCAAGAGGAGGACTTGCTCTTCTTTGTAATACATTCTCTGAATCTTCTTGACTTTCAGTCACTCCAACATCTTCATCTTCAGATTCCAGTGGAGATGATTCCTCTGTGGAAAAAATACAAATTTTACATGCAGGCAATGATCCAGATATTGCAGGACATTGTCTTTTATTATACATAATCCCCGAGCCAACGGCGCCGAGCGCCGTGCGAGGGTACTAATTCCGCCAGGCTATTTATACCCGGGAAAACGAAAGTCTAAAGTTCATCAATGATCGCGGGCGTGGGCGACCAACGATGGGTGGTCATCCTCACTGATCTCAAAAATATGGCGGACTGTCATGAATAGCGAACACTGATTGGTCCAGTTTTAAATTTGCATTATAACAACTGCATAACGACAGCAAAATAGCAAACATTTCTTGATTTGATGATTTCTTGCAAATATATTTCATTTTTGCAAGATTTTGTGAATTTCAAAAGCTTTTTGATAAAATAAAGGAGAGAAAATCGCTAAAAGAAGGGAGTAAAGGCGCCGACGTTAACGAAGGTAAGTTTATCGTTTCAAACCCAAAGTTTTATATCGACAAAGGCAGTTTAGTTTTATAAAGAACGAAGCGTTTGTGGTTGAATTTTACCTTAAATTGAAGCTTATATTACGTATAATAATAACATACCTAAAATATATATGTTTGGGAAATTGATAATTTTGTACTTAAAAGTAATATTTTTTAGGAGATTTTTCATTTTGGAAAAATATTCCTAAATTATCGTGTTACCATGACAACTACTTTAAATACTTCATGTTCGGAAAATACAATGGTTTTGTCAGCAAGGCTCTAGTATTTAACATGTATTCTGCGAACTCGATTCGTATATGAGCTATGAGTCGTATATCAGCTGCCCATTATTGAAGTCTCGATTTAATATTTTGCCGTATCCCACTCAGAAGATCCAATAAGTTATATTATAATATCCTGGTTATATCCGGTATAGTTGTCTATATTATAATAATATTGCATATAGGATAGCCATTTGTCCATTTCAGTTACAACTGCTGCCAGTGTGGATCCCTAGTATTTACTCACACAACCAATAATGCATAAGCATGATAATACTGGATAAATTTTTATCCAACACTATATTTTGGAAAACTGTATGCTTTTATTACATTCACAGTATAACGCATGTGGATTTTCACATGATTTTAATTGCTTACAAAATTGGTAAATATCGAGCGTCTCGCTGAGGAAGAGCGGAAGATTATATCCAATTTCAGACCTACTGTAACCAGGAGAAGCTGCGAAAAACACCACCATAGGCCCTCTGGCAGGAGGGGAACAAGTGGCCCTGCTATTCCGGTGCAGCACTCGAACTAACTGAGCTACAGAGACCAGGTGTCGAGCTCTAACCACAAGTTCTTGTATATAGATATAGTGATGTGACGCCATTAGAAGGTATAGGTAAATATCGCGATTTTTTGGGCATCTCCCTCCATAGAACCAACAGTTGAAGGATTGCGTTTTTCGTAGCTGCTCCTGGTTAAGTCGTATATAATCGTATAAAATTGTATATAATCTTCCGCTCGATGGTATTCAATGATACAGTAACTTGTTAGACATTATGCCAAAGAGGACGAAAATTTGTTTACACTGCCTATCAAGAAAACTGAATTCTTTCGGCGAAGAAGTAAACGAAAATATGAAAAAGAAGCGACTCTTTCAAATTTCGCGTCATGTCACCATTAGTGATATGGCGCCATAATTTTATCTTCTGAGCTTCCTACCTTATGTACAGTATGTACACTAACCTTCATCACTATCCTTTTCTACTTCATCTGATCCATTATCATCACCTGATGTACTCTGTACAATGCACTTGGGAAGTTCAAATGAGAGTGTTGAGTGTTTATTGGTCAGTGGTAAGGTATTCTCTGGCATACATAACCTCAGAATCTGAACTATAACGCTGTTTATACTGTTCAGTTCCTTGTCTACAATAGAAAGAAAAGTGGATACCATTAATTAGCCTTTCTTACTCATGTCAATATCCGTCATTTTTGGGGGTACTGTCGATCTTTCCACGTCGAAAGAATATAGAAAACCTAGGCAACGTAAAGAGCGACTTTTCAAGTTGTAACTATATATTCACACACTTTACTATGCGATAACAAGTCGCATTTCGCGGTGCGTGCACTCAGACTTGGGACAGGCAGTAGCCCCAAAAGGGCGGATAAACTGAGGGTGAGAAAGGTTAATTGCATACCACACTAGATAAACCTTGAAACATAGTGTAAATTTAAAACATGTTTTATAAATGTTGATGGGTATGTTTATAATGAATAGAGATTTCTTCATGGGGAAGTGCTGACGCATCATGAATAATTTGTTTTTATTGGGCGAACGAGTGAATGCAACGAGCGAGTGAGTTTTGTGAAAACAAATATGAAATAAAGTGCGAAATCAGAATACAAAATCACTCCCCATGAACAAGTTTATTTATATTTATTTATAGAAAATGAGATTTTTCTTTCATTGAAATACGTGTTAGTCTTCATTAGAGTACAGCCGTTTTAACATCTCATCTTCTTCGTCTCTGGAAAAAATAGTTGTACTTACTGTATAAGTAATATTTACAGAACGTGTTGTATCGGATATACAAACTCAAGTAAATGACTTGTGAAACGTCTTGATGAGAACATTCGTATATTCTTCAACAATTTAATATATATGAATATATTTATTTGGTCAGAAAATTGAACTCAAAGTTTATGTAAATCAGCACGATTTTGTATCAGATATACAAACAATCGCCTTCACGGTCATGATTGCTTTTGTGTTTTCTTCATGTCCCACCAGGTGTAATACTGGCTTGGTTTAATAAAGTTACTGTCACCCTGTTTTTTCTATTGTATTTTGTTTCTGTAAAATTCATGTGGTTTGCATCCAAGCAAATTCCAAGCATCAGGTCACATGTATACCATATTGTAAACCCCATATACAAATTTCAATTCGTACAGTACGTTGTTTTTGTTCACATGCATTTTGTATAATTATAGGCCAGTTATAATACGAGTTTCACAATGAACGATATAAATTCATAAATAAAAAAAATTTCACTCCAAAAATTTGACTCATAGTAAAGTAATGGGTAAAATAATGCACACATGCACAATGACTTAAAATATTGAGTAAAATTCCTAAAATTTATGAGCAAACTGACTCATTTTCCTGTAAAGTAAATCTTATCCTGGCAATATAGTAATTTGGAAAGAGAATTTGTTGATCGCAATTGAATATGTTATACTAACTGTAACTTGCCCCAACGTTCTCATCTATACTTACGCTCTCCCGTGTCATTTGCTAACACAAAAAGTGTCTTCATTCCATCTGATTGCAAAAATGCTGCTTTACCCGCTTCTGAAATCATAAAAGATAAAATTAATCATGATATTTAGGTCTTCTATACATTATATAACTGATACTCGTGTAAACAGAAGAAAAGCCAAATATACACGGGGGGGGGGGGGGGGGGGGGGGACATTGAAATACACATTATGCAAATAATATTTTCATCACCAAATGCGATACTAATCGCATTAGATTATGGGGAATGATTCCCATACTATTTTATTCTATTCTTTATGGGGAATGATTCCCATACTATTTCTATTGTATTCTTTATGGGGAATGATTCCCATACTAAACATTTTGGTGAACATACGGTAGCCTGCAATTCACACAACCTGCCGTAGGAAAGCAGATTAAGACCTATATAGACTATACAGCCATGATGTATAAAAAAGGCAATCCCACTTTTTTGTACCATTACGATCAAAACAACTAAACACCATCCGACGTAAAGTGGTTGGTCGAAATCGCATTTTCCATCTTGGAAATCTTAAAAATGTTTTCTTTTCAATTTTCGACCATTTGCCCAAATACTGATTTGGGAAACGTCGAGTTCAGTCTGCGAACGAGTTGCGAGTTGATGATTAACCCAAAGAGTGGATCGATATACCGGATATATCTGGTATACCGGTATTTTTTCTCTGTGTTGGTGTTGTGTACTCAGGTGAACATGTTTGTGATGTTACTCTGAGTGTATATTCACACCGGGCGAGCTTGAAAAATATGCTTGGCCACGGTGGGAATAGAACCTACGACCTTTGGAATACTAGCCCAATGCTCTGCCAACTGAGCTACGCGGTCAGGACGGTTCGAGTAAGTGATATTTCGGAAGAGAATCTAGTTCCTTCGATACCAATGTAATCTAGTAATATGATTTTTTCTCTGTGTTGGTGTTGTGTACTAAGGTGAATATGATGTTTGTGATGTTACTCTGGTGTATACCCACACCGGGCGAGTTTGAAAAATATGCCCGGCCACGGTGGGAATCGAACCTATGACCTTTGGAATACTAGCCCATACTATACCAACACAGAGAAAAAAATCATATTACTAGATTACATTGGTATCAAAGGAACTAGATTCTGTTCCGTAATATCACTTACTCGAACCGTCCTGACCGCGTAGCTCAGTTAGCAGAGCATTGGGCTAGTATTCCAAAGGTCGTAGGTTCGATTCCCACCGTGGCCCGGCATATTTTTCAAGTTCGCCCGGTGTGGATATAAACTCAGAGTAACATCACAAACATCATACCAGTATTTGTTTAGATACCGGTATTGTCGATATTGACAATTTAAAAATACCGATATTCCGACATTTCGGTATTTTGCTGCCTAATACCGAATTGAAACGCTATTTGAAGTCAAATTTGCTTACAATCACGTTTAGAAAGCAAAGTTAATACTCACAGATGGACGATTTTGTTCTTACAGTTCTAGCAGCTTTGGTTTAGCAATACCAAGACGTCTTGTTTATTAAATCGCCTTAATCGGAAATATATAAATGGCGAAATTTTTTAAGGAAAATTTCGATAAAAAAGAAACCTTAAAATCAAAGGCTTTGATTTTGGAAAATGGAAGTACTAGGTAGTACTAGGTAGTACTAGAAAATGCAAAGCAGCGAAAACCTTTTCAAGTTTTTTTGGAAATATTTATCGGGCAGTATAAGAAGGTAACTTTTTGTTGTTTTTAATCTTATTTAACTGACATGCTAACTTGTTTATGTGTTAGTTTTAAAAATGCAACGTTTTTTTATGTTTATAACTATTAGCACTGGCAGTGGTAATGCACTAATAACAGTACGTGCCACATTAATATTTTGTCAAAACTTGATTTTTCTCGACGGTCAGCAGTTCAGTTTGGCTTTAAAAAAACACGTTAAAAATACCGGTATACCAGTATTTACCGGTATTCTGATGGCGGTATTCGGTATTTGCGATATCGATCCACTCTATTAACCCATACAGTACGTTACTTCTTTGTGGAAGTTCTTATAATTTTGAATAAAAAGTGAGAATAACTTCAATATTCATGCAGACAATAGCTGTGCATTCACATTCAGTTTCCATTTCCCAAAGGTGAAAAAATGCAATTTCAACCGGCCACATCGGATCGTATTTGTCTATTTCTGATCGCAATGATACAAAAAGGTGTCATTGGACAACTAAAAGCCTGATCCTGATCGGTGCAATATGGCACACTAACACGTCAAAGTTGGATTACCTTTTTTCATGACATCCTGTATACTGAGGCACTGCTGGAAAATGTCCGGCAGCGTCAGCAAAATATCATCGCAGGAAGTTTTTCTTTTTTTTTGTCATTTTACAGTTTAAACTAAAATGCCATATACATGTACTGTACTGTAATTTACTTATACAGGTAGTTTAAAAACTCGAAAAATGTAGTTTGCAACTCGAGAATATCTTATGCCTAGATTGAAGTTGATTACAATGTGCGGCGCCATACGTTCCCCTGAAATCTGCATATCGGCAGGCCGTTTTATATTTGATTTTTTTGTTTTCAAATTCAACGACACTCCAGGACTTTCAAGTTTCGTACGAACCTTGGATTGTACTGAGCTATACTGTAGTACTGACTAACTTACTCGTGGACACAAGTGCTTTCAGTGAGTTAAGAAAAGCTTTTCTGATAGCAATCTGTCTGTTATGATGATCAGTTCTATGCCAATCATAAAACATTCGTAGAAGAATCTCAACTCCATTTAGGTTCACAGCTTTCACAGCAACTCCTTCTGAAATAATGAAATTTACAAGACGTTTTTACTAAGAACAACATTGCATGTCATAACAAAAGTAAGTAACGTATTAAAAAGTTCCATTATACTGTACATACAGTACAAACTACAACTCCAAGTACATCATACAGGTGCACTTGACAGTGTATGATGTATATCAACATGCAGCCACATTGATACCCTGACCCTCACCGGGGGGATCCAACCCCTCGCCCTGATGGGGGGGGGGGGAGGGAATGAAAATCTCAAATAGATATATATGCAACCTTAATAATACGAACTCCTGTGTGATGATATACATCTTAGATTAAAGTATCACTATATGATAATATACATGAAAACATGAAGAGACCATGCTGTGATATATAGTAATATTATACCTCAAATTCAAATTGTCCAATGAAAAAACAGCATTTGTACCACGTGATGTGATTTTTTACGGTATTTCACTCAAATTCATGATTTCGCAATGCAGCGTGGGATATTATAGTATCCCACGCTCACGCGTGACGCGTGGACACCACGCTCTGGAACAATATGGCGCACGTTGGTGAGCTGTTGTTCGTAATTTCTACAGAAGATTTGATTTAACCAAAGATTTGCAAGACGTATGTTACCTTTAATGATCCAAAGGATACATGCTCAAACATTTTAAAGAGGTAACGTCAAAAACTCACTCAGGTATACATAAGAAATTAAAAATTGTATTCGCGTAGTTAATAATAACTTAATATTCAGCAAGTTTTAAAGTTTATTCTGAACTTAGTGAGTTCTTTAACTTTCGGTATAATATATCATTTATAGACCCCCCGCTCGGGGGATTCGGCGATATTTCCCTCAGTGATGATATTTTCCTCGGGGCAAAGCCCCTCGGAAAATATCATCACTTCGGGAAATATTACGCCGAATCCCCCTTGCTCCGGGTCTATAAATGATAATAAAGTATAGTGTCATTTAGAGTACTTTCATGCAAAATAAATAAGCAAACAAATTTAGAGGCATACTTGACTTTACAAGAATAGCAATCAGATCAAGAACAAGCCTAAAATTAAAGATAATATATTTCATAAGTCATAAAGTTTGGGCATTTAAATTCAAGGCACATGTAGAACCTTATCGTCGATATATTTTATCATGAATTTATACATTGTGCTAAGGTTGTGCCAAGGTCGTTTGGACTATAATAATACAGTAAAGTATAGTGTAATATGGAAATGTATATTACCGTTTTAAGACAGCTTTACAGTTACTGTAATTAAACGCTTTTCAGACATATACGTATTCATTTAAATGCTATACTAGTCTTGTGAGATAACTAAATGAATAGAAGGACATGCAGAATGTGAAGAGCGACAGAAAATGTGATTTGCTTAAACATATTACGTCACTGAAATAGAGTCAGCCGTGTATTTGTCCTCATTTCTCGAGGTCCCAATGGGAAGGCGGATTGAATTCAGATTATTACATAATATAATATTAAGAAAGCCATTATGCGGAATGCACGATCGTGTAAAATTATTGTTGCTATGTTGTAGCTTGCGTGGCAGGCGATTTTTTACGGGCAGCGAAAATTAGGGAGGAAAAGGAAACCTTTGCCTCCTTAATTTTCGCTGCCCGTAAAAAAAACGCCTTCCACGCAGGCAGTATGTTGTGAAAAAATATAAAAAATTCCATTGGCTCTAGAACACTGATTGATATACAAATATTTCACAATTGATATAAAATTCAGCGATGAAGACAAGGGAGGGCTGTCTAATCAGGATTAGAAATTTATGCTGGGAAACAGTAAATCTTGTGATCTCAGTATTCCATATGAATAGTAGTTCAAAACATGTTGGTAGGGCGTAAAAAATACCTGTGGTTCCGGTTCCCGACCGATCCTATTATTTTTTCAACGTGATTGACCGGGCGACACTATTTTCTCCAGGTGGTTGCGGGCTGCTCATACAGCGTGCCAAAATTGGGTCTGTTGTCACACTAATTATTGAACCAAATTGCCTAAATTCGTCCATAGGAAACACGCATTTCTAGTTAACATTGATGTCGGGACTCTACTGCAAATCGCCCAGCAAAAACCCGCCAAAACCATGAAAAAAATATTCAAAAAAAAATTTAATTTCCGACCTACTGACCCTAATTTTTTCACGATATGAAACCGGAACCACAGGTATTTTTTTACGCCTAGTATCAATTGTTGGTAACTGTACGTTATTGAAGATGATTTTATACCGTTAAAACTTAGATGATCGTCCGAGAGAGACATTATTCTATGAGCAGTAGCCGGTGTTCCGGTCAACGCACTACACTACACCGTTCTAGCGTTGTGTGTGGGCTGTGGGTTTCTCATCAAACTTTTGAGATGTTTTCATAATTTAACGAATTATTTGAATTTAGAATGTATACAAATCGATAAACCTGGCTGCCGATGGAGTGACATGAATACAAATCAACTTCAAAGGAAATCGGTTTCATGAAAACGTGAAATCCTGTTGTATATGTGGTTTAGAGTTCAAAAATCAGAAGGATTTCAATCCTGTTGTCGGACAGTCCACACCCAACGGTAAAGTGGACTGGAACAAAGGCTTAATTAGTCCAGGATTTTTCATTTCTTTAATTTTCTAAAAACAAATGCAGAAGTTAATCGCTACTCACTTTAAAGTTGTAACACGTTTATGTCCACAGTTAGAGAGTATACGAAATAATATGTTGATAAATCCTGCCTTGTTTAGAACACTGCAATTCACACCTAGGAAGAGTAGATATCATAAGTACGGGTATATTGTCGTGACAAACGTACTTGTCAAGTAACTTATGATAAAGTTTTGTTGTTTATGTTTTTAACCCTGAAATCCTGGCTAAATATTTTGGCACACTTGACATTCACAGTGCTGAACACCGCAATGACAAGCAATATTGTTCCCCTTACAAGGTCGTTCTTAGTTTGCAAGAGTGCAAGGTGTTAAACAACATTGCAGGGGGCAGACAGAACATGACATTGTGAATACAATGCACATTTATGTTTCTGTAAATCAGAAATGTGGTAGAGGAAGTTAGTAGCAAGGTACACGTTAGTAGCAAGGTACACGTTAGTAGCAAGGTACACGTTAGTAGCAAGGTACACGTTAGTAGCAAGGTACACGTTAGTAGCAAGGTACACGTTAGTAGCAAGGTACACGTTAGTAGCAAGGTACACGTTAGTAGTAAGGTACACGTTAGTAGTAAGGTACACGTTAGTAGTAAGGTACACGTTAGTAGTAAGGTACACGTTAGTAGTAAGGTACACGTTAGTAGTAAGGTACACGTTAGTAGTAAGGTACACGTTAGTAGTAAGGGCCTTCGCTCGAAACTTCTGTTTGTATTTTTGAAGCCGTACGTAATTGTATCTCTCGCAATCCGCAGTTATCTTATATAATAATATACACAAAGATATTACTCGACTGTGATTGGTTGATTTCAGTGCAGTTAATCACAAACAGCAGTGCAATTTTCTGTAATCACAGTGCAATTTTTTGTAATCACAGTGCAATTTTCTGTAATCATAGTGCAAAAATCTGTAACAAACTGATCTGATTGGTGGAAAAACATTGTGATGATTAAATCAACCAATCAGTTTAAAGCAATTTAGTTTACGGTCACAGATTGCTTCAAAACAAAACAAACATGGCGCCGCGCTATACAAAGTAAAAGTTGCTTTCGCGTGGAAAATATGGCTTTTATCTTTATTTTTAAATGGAAAAGCATTTACCTTAAACAAGACTAACAAAAATTACATAGTTGAGCGTTGCTGTTAGCGTTGTATAATGTGATATAACAAAGCCAGGAAAACTTTGCCAGTGGAATGTTCGCTATAAACGCGTAAGTTAAAACTACAATAATTGTCTCGAACATTTTTATGTAAATTATTAATAAGTAATAGCATGGTTTCTCGTGAAATTTGGATAAACATGCACTCGTGAGTTTTTCAAAGACCTCAAATAGCAACTCGTGCTATTTTGAGGTCTTTGAAAAACTCACTCGTGCATGTTATATCCAAATTGCACTCGAAACCATGCTATTACCTATACATATTATATCTCTACCCACACTGACACAGACCGTTCGAGATTACATTACTAAGTGATAAACAAGACGCCTGCTCAAGGCGTTCGCTCCGTCGGTAAGGGGGAAGGGCAGCAACAGAATTGCTTGGGGTGATGTAGGAAGTTGATGAGGTGTGGTATAGCACCTTATTGTGACCTTGGCATTTTGGCAAAGAGTAACATAATACTGTACATACAAATCAGAAATGAAAGATATATCTCCAGCACTTTAATTATACTTGGTTTAGTCTACAGTATATATTATTAATTATATGATCGTATACAGTTCTACTTATGTTGAAAAATGTTTCTTTTAGGATAGAGAATGTTTCAAGAGAACTAGTAACAGTTTCCAATATTCTTAAGGGACATAACCAATAACCATCAATCCATTTTTCATTAATCATTATAATTAATGAAGAGCATAGCCGTTGATAACCTCCTGATAACCAAAGTAATGAGCAAAATTTCACAGATGACATAGTCTGCATAGAGAATATGTTCTGCAGGTCCAACATTACCGAGTCATCAATAGCACAGTATAAATAAGGGACCACGTCCATATTCATGTTGCCATGCACAAATAACGTCGAATCGACGTTATTATTTCACCCATCCACCGCAGACAACGTCGATCGATGTTCAGTCGTATTTTGACCGATAAACCCACAATTATTGTACTTTACTATACCGTCATTGGCTGGGATTGTATTTTGATACAATATTTATTTTATAAATAGTGATTTGGTTTTTGCCGGAGTGGCAATAAACAATACAACCAAGATACAATTAAAAATAAAATATAATTAAAATTAAAATATAATTAAAAGATAAAATTATAATTATCAAGATATAATTAAAATCAAAATTAAAATGTCCATTGATACATGTCATATTCTTGTTGGTAGAAGTTGGCAACCAAGGTAAATTATAAAACAATCTTTTAATGGTGAATACAGTATGTCTACTGACAGTCTACGAAATTAGAAAAGTTATGTTCTTAATCATTTGCTAGTGTGCATGTGGAGGTTCCGTTGAACTTAGCCTTCAACCTTCTGCAAATAGCTATATAGGCGTAAAAAATTTGGAAGTATAGAAGAAACAGAATAGCATGTTAAAATCTAACCATTTTAAAGCTTTCAACTGTCTTGGTGACCTAATAGCTTTAATTCGGCCTGATTGATTTCGTTCTTTCTTTGTTGTTGCACCAACAAAAATACGTTAATTCATAAAGAGTAAAGTCAGTTTAATTTCTACTTCAATCGTATCGTACCGAAACGTACCGTATTTCTTTGTTTCCTGAGCGGTAGTGTGGAACTAATGATTTCGACACAAAAGAATATGCTACGATACTTTACGATACGGTTGAAGTGGAAAACAGGCTTAAGTCCAGAGTACAACACAACATGAAAAACACAGTACAATTCGGTGAAAATTTAGCGAAATTGCCAGAAATATTATTTGCCCACTCATCACGCAACCGCCATTTTGAAACTGAACTATACAGGTCACTGAAGCATACTTGCAAAATCACCCATTATATCCATAAAGTACACCGATCTACCTGTGAAATGTTCATTTTGTGACATCCTAAAGACAGACAATTAGCATTTTAAAGCTCCCTCGGGCTACGTCCGACGGAGCAATAATACTTACTACTTCCAGCAGAAAGTTTGATCACTAACAATGCAGGATGAAGAACTTTGAAATTATTGGCATTTTGCTTGATTACGTCCATCGTGATTTGTAAGGAGCCAGTTAGCCGGGATTTCAGAGCAAACTTCCGGTCTAAAATATCAAAATAAATTCTATGAGCCCACGGTTTGCCAGGATGCTAACTTGAGTGGGATGAATTATTTCCCTCTGCGTTCATTATCCCATCTACTGTAAATATTCTTGGTGGCACGAAATGGAAATATCGAATTTTGGTATATACATGTAGCTAGGGTGAACACCAAACGTGATTGGCTGATTTGTGGTCACGTGACTTCAGATAAATGCAATGTTTCCCGCCGAACAACAAGTCAAAAATTGTTGCCCGCCCCGACCGGCTACGTACATAAATAAACAAAATGGCGGCACAACTACTGTAGTATAATTAGAAACCACGATTTTCCAAGTTTGTGTTCAAATAAAGAATGTAAAAGAAAAGAATATATACAACAGGCGACAGGATATGTTGCTGAAACCGTTTAAGTAGGTTTTTTAAATTTTAAACTCGTTTACACTATAGAGTTTTTGTCACGAAATACAACTGTTGTATGATTGTTGTTGAATATTGATTTTTGTTCGTCGCTATATAACAAAACATCTAATGTATGCTCCCTCGGGAAATAGTGAATTTTGTTTTCCCTCAAAATTCACTATTTCCCTCGAGAGCATACATTAAGTGTATATTATTGTTGTTGTAATTAAGCAAACTGCACGTTGTATTACGACTTTAATAGTGCATGTCTGTTTAGGTCTGGTATTTGTGGTCTTTTTGTTTGTATTTTCTAACTATATGTAGTACAATAAACAGACATGATACAAAATGGCCGCCGGTCACGACTTTTCGAGCTCTACAAAAATCGGAAATTTGACGTCTCTGAACCTTGACTTAGACATTATTAGGTCTTTGAAAGGTTGTGGTCACTTAACGTATGACGGAACCCGAATTAAATGGTCGCAGGATCTTCAATCACTAAAGAATTTCGTTGAAAATATTGTCGGCCTACGAGGCAATTGGTCATCACCTGGTGGTAAAGCTAAGAGGTTTACCAGCGTAAATTTTGATCTGATCGCGACGTGGTACCCGGGCAAACAGAATTCGCTATTATTCCAAGGAAAGGATGGTGATCTGCTCAAGAATTATCTGGTGAGTGTCTTAGATATAACTTGTATTGGCCAAACAACCACGGATACGGACACTGATTTTATGACCAACATAGCGGATTCGGTATTTGAAACAGAGACTGCCGAGATATCTCCAGTTAAAACATGCGAAATTATCACTAACAATAACCCGGCAGTTACTGAATCGACCCCGTTGAAACATCTCAGTTGGTCGTACAATACTTTTACCAACGATATGAAAGGGGGTAAAGCGGACATAACAGTTATGCAAAAACAAATAACATCTATAAACAATGTTATTAACTCTACCAACGCGATTATAGAATCTATTAGTAAGGTTTTGGACTCTACCGAAAACCGCCAAATATCGTACGACACCAGAATGGAGACCTTCCTTAAGGAGTTTTCCATAATTTTAGACGAGAAAAACAGAGCGATAAACGAGCGAGATATCACTATCAGACAGCTTCAAGCGAATTTGTCGGAAATTGAAAATGAAAGAAACTCATTAAATCTTAAGAATTCACCAACAAAGCATG